TGTGTGTGTGTGTGTGTGTGTGTGTGTGTGTGTGTGTGTGTGTGTGTGAGGTGCAAACAAAAAGACTAACCACAAGTTTTAGGAGCCTCTAAGGATGTGTCAGAGTTTGGTGAAAATTTGTGACTTCCATCAGGCAAGTCTTCCTCGGCTCGACAAATAGGAGGGCTGAAAAGAAAAAGTGGAGAAGTTTAAAGTATTTACAAATATACTGGAAAATCATGCAGAACTTTTGGCTGATTCGTGCTGTTTACTGCTCTTTAGAGATATGTCATATCTGAATTTGTTAATTAGGGTGGCAGTTTTGAGTTTGATTTCAGATTAGACATGGATCTGTGACAAATTTTTTAACTCACTAGAATGTCCTCCTGCACCTCCACAAACTGTCCTGGTAAATCACTGCTAAATCATAATTATAAAGTGGGAACGGGTTGTGCCTAAAAATACATTTTTTAACTGACTGATCAGTCGGCTGAATGGTTAGGCTGATTTATTTATTTATTCACTTTTTGGGCATTTTTTTACTGACTCCACCTGAGCATATGCCAATAAAAAAGCAGCCATGTTTGTGTATTGCTCGGTGTTGTTACATTCAAAACTACTGTACATCCATGTGTCTGTGCACTTCCCACAGTGAGACGTTTTGACAGGACTGCTTTTTTTGGCACCAACACCAGCAGAAACTGGAGGAAGGTGATTATTAATTTTTGCTTTTTGCCTCTTAATCAAATGAGTTTACAGACTGTAGGGCATTTATGATGAATACAACCCAAAAGTTGAAGACAGATAAAAAAGCACCCCCTGTAGGCTGGCTGCTTTTCCTGACTAATAAATCATGTAGTTTTTACCATTCGGCTATGTATCCAAATAGTCATTTTTTCTAACATGTATAGTTGTGGTTAGTTATTTGATGTTTATAAAAAGGTCATGTGTGCAGGTAGTTAGACAGAACCTTGTCTGCAGAGTCCATAAATACAATATGGCAGCACCTGTATACAAAATATTCTATTTTGGTTTTAATTACTGTGAAACAATTGTAGTAGGCAGAAACACACAATCAATCTTGATATACTGTCTTTGGCTCAAATCAAATTCAAAACATTAATAACATTGATACCAGTGGCTTGTGCAGGCATTTATAAAGCATCACTGAACAAAATTATAATTTGTTATCGCTGAATATTTTAGGAGGGGTTTTTTTTGTTGTTTTTTTCAGATAATTGTACTAATCACACATTTTACAGTAAACGTCCCAACTTTCTTTCCAAAACTTTGTACATTGTATGAACAAAAATACTTAATTAATATTTTATGAACCAAACACACACACACACACACACACACAC